CTACCACCTCCTGTCCTCCAGTGTCGTCAGCCGATTTTCCTTAATCTTTCTTCATAGGACATTCCCCTTAGCTCCTGACTAACCTATGTTGCAAACTTTGTACTTTCTCTAGTTTCTTGCGTGCTTTATCAAGTGCGGGTTCCAAACAGGTGCTGCATACTCCCTATGGCCTGACATAACAACGTGTACAGTGTCTTGAATTGACTCCTTACTAAGGTATCGGAATGCTGTTCTCAGGTTTGCCAGCGCCCATATGCTGCAGCAGTTATCTGGATTGATGTGGGCTCCGGAGAAACATGCTCGGTGTTATACTTCACCCCCAAGATCTTCTCCATGAGTGAGGTTTGCAGTCTTTGCCACCTAGCCTATACCTTGTCCTGTGGTCTTCTGTGCCCTATCCCCTATCTTCATGACTTTGCATTTGGCAGGATTATTTTTTTTTAAATTCGAGAAGCCATTGCTGGACCAGAGTCCAGTCTGTCCCGGTCTCTTTGAAGTCCTGCCTGGGTTCCTCCTCAGATTTAATTCTCCTCATTAACTGTCACATCCACTGCAAACAGGGACACTCTGAGTCTAACCCTTCCGTCATGTCGTTCACAATATACCAAAAATAGCACTGGTCTGGACCGACCCCTGTGGGACCCCGCTCGTCACAGGGTGTCCCCACGTGATACATCATTAAACGCAACCAGACTCGTTGTTGCCTCCCTGTCAGGTAATCTCTGATCCATTTGCATGCCCTTCTCCTGTATATATGCGCGATGCTCTACTTCTGCACAATCTTCTTGTGAGGAACTGTCAAAGGCCCATCTTGCAGTCCCAAGAAGAAGCAAACAACCACCCCTCTCTCTCTGTCTTGTGTGTGTGTGGTGTGTGGGTGTGTTGTGTGGTGTGTGTGTGTGAGTGTGTATGTGTGTGTTTGTTGTATGTGAGTGTGTGTTGTTGAGTGTGTGTATGTGTGTGTGTGTGTGTGTGTGTGTGTGTGGCTGTGTGTGTTAGAAGGAAGAGAGAGAGAGACAGAGATAGCCAGATAGACACACAGAAACAGACCAAGACAGACACACCCAGTGGTTTGTTTAACACTGATTGTCACACTGTACACCAAGGATGTTTAACAATGATATTCAACATTGGTACACCAGTGGATGTTTAACAATGATATTCAACACTGTACCACCATTGTTGTATAAACACTGATACTCAACACTGGTACGAACTGAAGAAATACTTCCTAACATCGATGTTTGTGTGTGGTGTGTGTGGTGGTGTGTGTTGTGCTTGTGTGTGTGTTGTGTGGTTTGTGTGTGGTGTGTGTGTGTGTGTGTGTGGTGGTGTGTGTGTCGTGTGTGTGTTTGAAGGAGAAAGAGAGAGAGAAGACAGAGATAGCCAGATAGACACACAGACTGACAGACAGACAGACAAACAGACAGACAAGAAACATATCGAGAGACAGTCGCAGATTAATAATACTTGCTCAAGCTCATCTCGAATCATCCGATTTCCAGATAAATTTCTATTGGCAATTTTTAGCACTTACTGTCTTTAATTCAGTCTGGTTCTAATGCATTAACTCTGCACATACCTGCGGCTGGCCAGAACTCGAGTCCAACGTTCCCATGCCCAGCCCTGTGTAAACTGAACAAAGGCCATCCACTATCCATGACAACCATCATTAAACACCATGCGCCCAGCATACTGAGCATGGGATCGCAGGATAGAGTCCTAGCCAAGCCGTAGTTCTGTTAATGATTCAAAATCACTTGCTTCTGATTAGTTGACATACACACACACACACCACACGACACACACACACACGACACACACATATATATATATATATATATATATATATATATATAATATAATATATACTTATATATATATAAAGAACATAGAACATAAGAAAAGAGGAACACAGCAGCAAAGCCTGTTGGGCCCATACTAAGGCAGGTCGTTTTACAATTCATCCCACTAACAAACATTTGGACCAACCACCAATTTTCAATGCCCCCCAAGAAACAAGCTCCGAGTGCAAGCCCTCTTCAAATCCAACCCCTCCCACCCATGTATCTTATCCAACCTAAATTGAAACTACCCAAATCCCAGCCTCAATAACCAACTATTAGACTGTTCCACTCATCAACTACCCTATTTCCAAACCAATAATTTCCTATGTCCTTTCTAAATCAAAACTTATCCAATTTAAACCCATTACTGCGTGTTCTCCTCTTGGAGAGATATTCCTCAAGACCTTGTTAATAACCCTTTATTATTACCTACTTCCACTTATACACTTCGATCAGGTCTCACCATCATTCTTCGTCTAACAAGTGAATGTTACTTAAGAAGTCTTCCATCTTTCTTCATAAGGAAGATTCTAAAATGCTATTTATAATTTAGTCATCCTAACGCTGCCTGTTTTCTAACGAATTTATGTCCATTCTGTAATATGGAACACTAACTGAGCTCATTAATCTAGGTGAGGCCTTACTAATGATTGTATAAAGCTGCAAGTATGACCTCTGACTTCTGTTGCTTACACTTCCTTGATATAAATCCCAGTAATCTATTTGCCTTATTTACGTACGCTTATTCATTGCTTGTCCTTGGTTTAAGTTGCTGCTTACCATAACCCCCCAAGTCCTTTTCGCAATCTGTATGGCTAGTTCTACATTATTTAACGTTATAAGTGCAAGGGTTATGGACACTCCCGAGCTTCAGAACCTTGAGCATTTATCTACATTGAACTGCATCTGCACTTTTCTGACAAGAGTAGAGTTTGTCTAAATTCCCTCCAGAATTTCTCTAACATCACGTTGAATCAATTATCCTAATCCTATCTTCGTGTCTCTGGCGAATTTGCTCATATCACTAGCAATTCCTTCATCAAGATCATTGATATATATTATAAACAATACAACGGCCCCAAGACTGATTCCCTGATGAACGGCCACTTGTTTCTGATCCCCACTCGGATTTAAACCCCCATTTAATGGACACTCACTGCTTCCCTGTCTGTGAGCCATGACTCGATCCACGAGAGCATACCCTTCCCCAATGCCATGAGCTGCTACTTTCTTCAACAGTCATTTGGTGGCGGAACTCTATCAAATGCCTTAGCTAAAATCTAATAAAGCAATATCTAATTCTTTATCGTTGTCAACAGCCTCAAAGCTTACTGAAGAAAGTTAAAAAATTATTAGACAAGACCGGCCTCTTGTGAATTCCATGCTGAGTATCATTAATCAAGCTATGCTTATCGAGATGGCTTCTTATAACCTCAGCTATAATTGACTCTAGCATCGGGGAATACACTAGTAACACACCAGTGGTTGTTTAACACTGATACTCTATACACTGGTACACCATGAGGGTAGTTTAACACGATATTTCAACTGTGGTATACATTGGTTGTTTAACACTGATACTCACCCTGGTACACCAGGGTTTTTTAAACACTGATATTCAACTGTGGTAACACCAGTGTTGTTTAACACTGATACTCAACACTGGTTCATGTAAGGGGGGTATCAGAATGAATCGTGATATAAGTGTGGAGGTATGGGGAGTAAGGGAATATGTAGGAGGGGAAAGGCAGTCAAGGTGTAGGAGTGAGATGATTAGCGGAGGTAGGTAGTGTAATGACAGGTCAGTGGTAACACCAAGACACTCTCATTAACTCTCACTAACTCACTAACATATGCCTCGCTCATTTCTTTCGCATCATATAAACATAATAATATATGGAAATAGGAATAGCTAATAACGGGGACAGTGAATATTACTAATTCTACTCAAACACAGTTTATTAATAAGTTTTGTACAATAATATATTTGGGAACTAAGCATTATTGTGGTTTAGATAAATGGGGTGGTACACTAAGCAGTGAGACTGGAATCACAATCAACTTGACCAAAATGAATATAACTTACATATAGCACAGAGCACAGTTCACTACAGGAACTAAGCCACAGGTCCCCAAGACCTATACAGCCCGAGTACAGCGCCAAGCCAGTACTCTGCCCCAATGCCTCCAACAGTCTCCTCCAGAGACTTCAGCAGCCCATCTCCCGACCCTGCACCCTCGCAGCAGCTCCGCTCGAATCCCCTGATCATGCCTCCTCGGGCTTCTAAGGTGGTCCAAGCACCCTCCACAACCACGTGTACGACCTAACGCCTAGGTATGAGGCGTCAAGACAAAAGACCTCAGACGAGGGCTTGGCTACCAGACGTTTGCCCAAGGCAAGTGTGACCATAAAATTGGTTAAATTAGTTCCCCGCCAGAGACCTCACAAAGCCCAGCTGGACTACATCACATCCCCCTTTTTTCTCCCCCAATTAAAATTCGAGAACTTAGACAATTGTCCTATTATTAGACTATTTTAATCCTAATATCCTAAAATCTATTACAATACAAAGACAAAATTATACATAATACAATTATATTTCCCTCAACCTCCTCAACTACCACAAGGCAGCATAATCAGATACCTCTGAAGTGGCCAGCATAATAGTCGCTCTCTGGTGCAAAGCCTCCTTACCCCGTTATTTCTCCTAAACCTAAATAACGGGCCCAGTGCCTCCCTACTTCTACTAGAAATGCACATAGCCAATGCTAGTCACACCCTCGCACGATAACCATTGGTGGGTCCAAAACCTCCTAGGAGGCTTCTATGGCGTGGAAAACTGCTCCAACGGTTTGCATTCTTTCCAAGTAACTGCAACTGACCACTTCACGAACCACCAAGGTCGCATTTTCGGCACACTTCACATGCACACTACAACATCAGATAAACGAGACAGGGCAGGCAATCGCAGCTAAACCCTCCATTAACTAAGCCACTACTAGGATTCACTGGCCTCATAATACAAGGCGGCATAATCAACTGGACCGTTTCAAGGTCACCATATTCCCCACAGGTAACAACTAACACTTCTGGAAAGTCCAAAGTAGACTGGGGACATCTCACACTCTTAATTGTTCTCTCATGGCTGGCAGGCATCCCCGCATACCTGTCGCACAGGTCGACCATCAAGGCAGGACACACCTCCCTGCCGCCCTTGAAAGCATGCCTGGGACGCCAGCAGGCATGAGTCCATCTCCGCGGCTCACGTCCATCCACAACTCCGAGTATGGCAACTCCATCATAGTAGATTCTCCTGTCCTGGCACACCGGCCAGAATCCCACACACAACCAATGCAAGCATCACGCCCCTCCTCATGGAGCTAGGAGCAGCATCGCAGCATCACAGCAGGCCACAGCAAAATCCATCCATCACAGCACGGCGTATCACAGCGAGCAACATAGCAGGCCGTATCACACAGCACCCAGCATGGCCGACAGCATCGCAGCAGCACGCTACCGCAATAGCAGCACGTTCCCAGCACACAGCGCGGCCGGCAGCGTCTCAACATCACAGCACGCCGCAGCAATCTCAACATTCACAGTCAGCCACAGCACTGCCACAGCATTGCAGCAGGCTACCGCACTCAGCACGCCACAGCATAGCGAGCACAGCACGGCTACAGCATCTCAGCAGCATCTCAGCAGCATCACAGCAGCCGACATCACATACAGGCTATGGTCAGTTGCTCGAGTGAGGTGATGTCACTTCAGGTCATCAACACAGGCGCGGTCACCCAACCCTGCAACTGGGGGTAAACTGCGGTCCTGTGTGATGTCACAGAGGCTGGGTGACGCAGACAGACACCCACTACACTGGATGACAGACCAGGTGCAGCAATACATCTACTGGGGCACCATCAGCTGGGTGAGTGGGCATATCACTGGGTTACTGGAACATCAGTGGACAGCAATCATAGGCAACTCTTCAATGGGGTGACAGTTGTGGGTAAGTCTTCAAGCGGGCTGGTGACTCTCATTTCTCTGTAAATATTCAATTTCGGCCAGTAATTGCATCCCCCAACAGTCTCACCCAAATACTGAAATTCTCCCATTTATCTCAAACCAACAACCAACTCCACCAAATATAATATTACACCCAAACAATTATTTAGACCCACCGTCAAAAAGGGACAGTTAAGGTCACTAGGATATAATATCATACAGATATTCACATTCGATTTTCAATACACACTACACGAAAAAAAAAAGTGGTATCGCAAATGGTAGCATAACAAGTGTAACCCAGAGGCATCAAAAATAAGGCAACATGGAACTGTTCCTACTATATAAAAATAAAAGCACCACCAGCCGATTAGACACCATTCAAGTAGGGGGGTAATGATTGAACAGGATATAAGGGAATATGGAGTAAGGGGATTATGTAGGCAGGGAGAGGCAAAAGCGAGTGGTAGGAGTGAGATGAAAAAGCGGAGGTAGGTAGGTAATGACAGGTCAGTGGTGACCACCACGACACTCTCATAATAACTCTACACTACTCACTAACAAATATGCTTGCCCATTCTACACGTCATATAAACATAAAAAAATAAAAGAAAAAAGAATAAAATGACGGGACAGTGAATATACTATTTCTACTCCACACAGTTTATTATTAAGTCCTTGTACAATAATAAATATGGGAACAGGAGTAATATCATTGGGTATAAAAATGGGGTGGTACCATAGCATGAGACAGGTAAATACCATCAACTTGACGAAATGAATAAACTTACAATAAATAGCACGAGACAGTTCACTACAGGAACTAAGCCAACAGGTTCCCAATACCAACTACAGCACGAGTACTGCCGCCAAGCCAGACTCTTGCCCAGTTGCCGTCCAACAGTCTCCTCCAGAGACTTCAGCATCCCCTTCTCTCTCCCAGCCCTGCAAAGCAACCCAGCAGCAACTCCTCTCGAAATGTCTCTGCTCAGAGCTGCAGCACCCAGGCCAGAGCCTGCCGAATCTTCTGCTCAGGAAGCTCTGGCGCCCCAAACAGCGCACCGCCCATTCTCATGATCATGCTCTTCCTTGGGCATTTTTTATGGTGGTCCAAGCACCCTCCACAACCACGTGTACGACCTGACGCTAGGGTCATCGGCTCAAGAACAGAAGACCTCAAACGTGGGCGTGGCTCCAGAACGTTTGCCAAGGCAAGGTGTGGACCATATAATTGGTAAATTAGTCTCCCCAGAGACCTCACAAGCCCAGGCGACTACAACACAACGGTACAACCAGAGGTTGTTTAACACTGATTACTCAACACTGGAACAGCTAGTGTTGTTTAATACTGATAATCAACACTGGTACACCAGAGGTTGCTTAACACTGATACTCAACACTGGTACACCAGTGGTTGTTTAACACTGATAATCAACACAGTACATACCCCATAGGTGTTTAACACTGATACTCAACCTGTTTCACCATGGTTGTTTAATACTGAAATCAACAATGGTACACCAAGAGGATACTTAACACTGAAACTCAACACTGTACAGCCAGTGGTTGTTTTAATACTGATAATCAAACGTTACACCAGAGGGTGTTTAAAAAACATCTGATAAACAAACATGGCAACACCAGTGGATAATTAACACAGATACTCCACCCTGGTACAACAAAGTGGGTTGTTTAATATGATACTCAACACTGTACATCCAGTGTTGTTAAACCTGATACTCAACACTGGTACACCATGGTTGTTTTAAAACTAATCTCAACTATGGTGCACCAGTGGTTGTTTAGACTCTGAAACACAACACTGGAACACCAGTGGTTGTTTAACCCTGATACTCAACACTGGTACACCAGTGTTGTTAACACTGATACTCAACAATTGGAAAACCAGTGGGTTGTTTTAACACTGATACTCACAGTGGTACCCAGTGGTTTGGTTTAACACTGATACTCCACACTGTACACAAGTTAGTTTAATATTGATACTCAACACGGTACACCAGTGGTGTGTTTAATACATGATACTCAAATATAGTGCACTCAGTGGTTTGTTTAAAACCTGAGTACTCAACAATGGTACACCAGTGGATGTTTAAACACTGATACTCAACAGTGAACACGAGTGGTTATTAACACTGATATTCAACACTGTAACACAGTGTTGTTTAACACTGATACCAACAATGGTACACCAGTGGTTGTTTAAACTGATACAACTCAATAGTGGACACTAGTGTTACTTAACACTGATATTCAACACTCGGTACACCAGTGGTTGTATAATTCTAAAATCACTGATACTCAACACTGTACAACCAGTGGTATTTAACACGATACTCAACAATGGTACAACCAGTGGTTGTTTAACACTGATACTCAACAGTGGTACACCATGTGGTTGTTTAACACTGATACTCAACACAGGTAACATGTGGTTGAAAATATTGATACTCAACACTGGTACACCAGTGGTTGTTTAAATACTGCTACTACAAATATATTGCACCAGTGTTGTTTTAAACATATGGGCTGATACTCCAACAATGGTACAACCATGGTTTTTTAAAACAGAACTCAACAGTGGTACACGAGTGGTTACTTAACACTGATAATCCAACACTGGTACACCAGTGTTGTTTAATAAACATGATACTTCAACAGTGTACATCCAGATGTTACTTTAACACTGAATATATTCAACACTGGTACTCCAGTGGTTGTTTAAGCACTGATAAACAACAGTGTTGCACCAGAGGTTGTTTAAAACACTGATACTCCAACACTGGTACAACCAGTGGTTGTTTAACACTGGATATTCAACACTGGTACAACCAGTGGTTGTTTAACAACTGATACTCAACACTGGTACACTAGTGGTTGTTTTAAATACTGATACTCAACCGCTGTACACAGTTTGTTGTATAACACTGATACCCCAACATTGGTACATCATGGTTGTTTAAACAATGATATTCAACCGTGGTAACACCATGGTTGTTTAATATCTTATAGTTAACACTACCTGGCACACCAGTGGTTGTTTAACACTGAACTCAACATGTAAAACCATTGGTTTTTTATCACTTATACACAACAACTGGTACACCATGGTTGTTTTAACACTGATACTCAACAGTGGTACACCAGTGGTTGTTTGACACTTACACCTACAGTGGTCCACCATTGATTTGTATTTAACACATGATACTCAACACTGGTATACGCCATGGTTGTGTATCACTTATAACTCAACACTGGTACACCAGTGGTTGTTTAACACTGATACTCAACAGTGGTCACCAGTGTTTGTTTGACACTGACACTCAACGTGGTACACCATGGTTCTGTTTAACTCTGTTACTCAACACTGGTACAATCATGGTTCTTTACACTGATAGTCACAGTTATACACCAGTGGTTGTTTAAACACTGATACTCAACACTTGTACACCCGTGGTTGTTTAAACACTGACATTCACAGTGTACACCAGTGGTTGTTTGACACTGTTACTCAACATCTTACACCAGTGGTTGTTTAAACTGACAACTCAACAGTGGTACACCAGTGGTTGTTTAACTCTGTTACTCAACACTGGTACACCAGTGGTTGTTTAACAATGATATTCAACAGTGGTCGCCAGTGGTTGTTATAATACATATACTTAACACTGGGGGCACACCAGTGGTTTTTTACACTGATACCTCAACACTGGCACCCAGTGGGTTGTTTAAACGATAGTCAACACTGGTACACCCAGTGTTGTTAACAATGATAATCAAACAGTGTACACCATGGTTGTTTAACACTGATACTCACCACTGGTACACTGAACATTAAAATGGTATAGAAATACCGACAGGTTGTTAGGTAAGACACATATGGCAACAGTTAGGTCATCTTAGTATGAAACGTTTTCGCCTACACCAGTAGGCTTCTTCAGTCGAGTACAGAAAAGTTGATAGAACAGACGATACTTGAAGACGATGTAATCAGTCCAATCACACCTTAAAGTTTTGAGTGGTCGGTTCCCTCAGTCAGGAGAAGAGCATTGTTCCATAGTATGAAACAATATGGATATGAAGTGACAGATGAGCTTTAATTAGCGCCAAGAAAAAGGGTGGGGGGAGACGAAGGTCACTAGAAAGAAGGTAAGAACTCAGATTATAGAGAAGGTCAGGTCCCTCACAAATCCACCGCACTCACTAGTGAAGTTGTCGGACAGTTGATTGCAGGGTCTTGTACCAAGATACCCTGTGTACTGTGTCTGACAGATTGAACATTAAAATTGTCTTACTCACAACCTGTCTGTATTTATACCATTTTAATGTTCAATCTGTCAGACACTGCAACACAAGGGTATCTT